ATTCGCCGTCATCACCGCCTCGCCCCAGTACCTCTTGTCCATTCCAGCCTCGGCTAGCAAGCAGCGCATCATTTCCGTCGGGGGGCGACCCCGGCGTAGTGGTTAGCATCCATACCTCTCACGCCAAAGTCACGAGTTCAAATCTCATCCCCGGAAAAGTCACAAATGACCCAAGAGCGTTAAAGTGACTATTAAAAAAAAATCATTTCCGTCCAACTCCGGTTCTTTCTCTCAGCAACTCCGTTCTGCTGAGGAGTGTATGGTACTGTCTGCTGGAGAATGATTCCGTTGTCCTTCAAAAAACGCTGTAGCGACTGCCCAGAGTACTCCCCACCATTGTCCGCTCGAATAATCTTGGGCTTCTTTCCAAACTGATTGTACACGAGATTCACAAACTCCTTGATCCTTTCTTCTGCTTCACTTTTCTGTTTCAACAGGTACACTGTGGTGAAACGAGAGAAATCGTCGATCATGGTCATTATAAAGCGATTTCCTCGTGGGGTGGGCACTTCCAGCGGTCCACATAGATCGGTGTGCACCAGATCTAAAACAGCCTTTGTTTTTGTTTCGGTTGCTGGAAACGATGCTCTGCTCATTTTTCCTTCGCAGCAGACTTTGCAAACCGATCGGATTCCACAATCAACTAAATCCAGATTCGTTCCCAATTCCTCTCGTATGATGCGTTCGATAGCTCCGGGTTCGCGATGGCCAAACTTGCGGTGCCACATGTGCTGACAGTTGTCTTGATGTTGAACCGCAGCCAACATAGCCTTCCCATGTTCCTTTAGTTGGTATAAACTTGCCTTTCGACCTACTGACCGAAAGCAGATTTCCCTTTAGAGATGGCACATGCAGAACTCCTTTGACCAGAATCTTCCGAGGATTTCCTTCTCCATCGACCGCTCCATGAAACCTTACTTTCATCCGCCAGCGTAATCGATGCACCAACACTTGACACCGTTGTCTTGAAATTCGAAATATCGCTCGCCATATGGGACGTGGCTCTCGAATCCAGATACCACGTAGTACCGTCACTCTGACTTCCACTGATAAAACAAAATTCTTCGTTTTCTTCGTCTTCTTTCACCAGCTTCGCCTTCTGGTATTTTTCCCTCCGCTCCTTCTCCTTACGATCCTCCGCCAGCTTCCAGCAATCCTTACGAAGATGCCCTTCCATCTTACAATAATGGCACGTTTTCTTCGTTTCCGGCTTTCCAGAAAATTTTCCGCCGTCCATTTTCAATGCTTTGTTTTGATGAGCTGCAAGTTCGTTCCGCCTCCTCCACTCATCCAAGAGCTTTCCTTTGACGTACTCCAAATCAAACTCATCGTCCTTTCTGCTTTCCAGTGCGACAATTAAGCCATCGTAAGACTGTGGCAAACTGGACAATAATATTGCCGCCGGCCAGATTCCGTTCAACGATTCACCCATCGCCTCTAAACGTTGTGATAACTCCATCACGCGTGCAATGTGATCCGCCATGTTTCCACCTTCCTCAAGCTGCAAGCGTAGCAGCTGCCGCAGCACATGAATTTTGTTCACCAATGACGACCGGTGGTGAAAACTTTCCAAAGCTGTCCACATTTCTTTCGCTGTCTGAGCTTTCATTACGTGCGTAAGCTGACTATTTTCCAACGCAAGTCCGATTATTGCACGAGCTTTTCCATCCTTTGTCAGCCAGACGGCATCCGGACGATCCGGCTTCTGGTAAGAAACCATCTCGTGCAACTCCTCCTTGATGAAAATCAGCTCCATGCGAAAACGCCACGTAGCATAGTTGGCGTCACCTAACTTTTCCACTACGAATTTTGCGTCCACCATCTTGAATGTTCTTTTCTCGCACTAGCATTTTTTTTTTTCGGGTAAAAACACTATTTCAGACGGATACTGTTCAATCAAGCACTTTCACTTCTTTCGCGCCGCGGATACCGTTCTGGGCCCATAACCTGTTGGCCACAACAACGAAATAAAACTCAGTTTTTTAGCGAAAAACTATAGCATTAGTTTTATTGTGACCGCGTCGTTTAAAAGTTCACATACGAATGAAAAAAAGCTTCTTCTCTACAAGCAGCCACGATGTTAGTGTAGACTTCTCGACTGCTACGGCAAGTCCAGTGATGCCGGTGGGATGAGGGGTGAGCCGATGTACGTCGTATCTCCAACAATAATGTCTAAAAAAGTAAAATTTCATGAAACTTATATAAACATTGTCTAATTTCGATGTACTTTACAAAAACTACAGTTTATTCAATAGCTATCTAATTTTCGACAGAAAGACTGTTTATGGCATCAATTGTTGTTGCCCCATAGAACTGACCATCTTGCCCCTTAAGTAGAAATAATTGCCATGCAATAAAATGTTTTCTTTTGAACTTTCTTCAAAGTTATAGTTGTTCTTCCAGCATAGGATTATTGGCCAATCCTTGAAGCTTATGTAAGCTTATAGAAATAATCAAAATAGTATAATTTTATTCGAGTTTCATTAGGGTGACCGTCTCGCCCCATTTCCCCCTACGTACAGTTACTCACAAAATTGAGCGTACACGTCTGTTTCCGAGTTTATTTTCAGATTTTTTTTCTTGTTTAAAGTTAAAAAAATATATTTTTTTATTCTTCCATATTGTTATTATTCGATCTTTATGATGAGTGAAAGAAAAGTACAAATGGTGATACTTATGTCTTTAATAAAATCAAATGATAAAATGACAAGGTTTTTCGCGACACAAAATTGAGCGTACATCAATTCAATTCTTATGAAAACTTATAAAAATGTTCATGAATGATCGATTTCGTACTGGATTTAGTACTTGGTGTGTCCTCCTTTGGCATCAATAACATCTTTCAGTCGGCGGGGCATCGATTCCACCAACTTTTTCGTGACTGTTGATGGAATCGAATTCCATGCTTCCATTATCTTCAACTTCAAGTCGTTTTTGTTCGTAGGATGGCTTCTCTTGACCCGTACCTTAAGTTCATACCACAGATGTTCGATCGGGTTGAGGTCCGGCGACTGAGGTGGAGAGTTCAACTGCTTTGGCACATTATACAGCAACCATTCTTTGACGATGTGAGCTGTATGCTTTGGGTCGTTATCTTGCTGGAAGTAATAATCCGATGGGAGCTTGAGTTTTTCGACAGTTGGCTTGACATGTTTCTTCAGGATGTTCATATACAACATCTTATCCATGGTTGTGTCGATAAACTCAATGTTTCCTGTTCCACTGGCCGCCATCGAACCCCAAAGCATAACGTTCCCTCCCCCATGCTTTACCGTTGGTTTCAAGTTCCGTGATTTGAACGCTGTATTTGGTCTTCTCCAGACGATTTGCTTTCCATCGGAACCAAACAGGTTTATTTTGGTCTCGTCCGTAAACAAAACCCTTTCCCAGAATTCAACAGGCTTTGAAACATACTTTTCCGCAAACGCAAGACGCTTTTTCTTGTTCACTGCCGAAATGAACGGTTTGTTACGAGCAACTCGGCCGTGTAACTTATTCTTCCGAAGGGTCCTGCGGACGGTTTCTGTGGAAATCGGTCGATTGATCATCTGTGTCACCTCTGACGTCAGTTCCGGAACGGAGATCTTTGGATTTTGATTAACTTTCCGCGTAATCAAACGTTCATCGCCTGCTGAGAGTATGCGTTTACGACCTCTTCCGGGATTATTCAGCAACTTTCCTTCATATCTCCACTTGTTTATGATCCTCTGCACCGTGGAATGAGTACGTCCAACCATTGCACCAACTTCCCGCATGGTTTTTCCTTTGCAGTACAAGCTGATGACTAATTTCCGAGTGGCAAGATCGGTTTGCTTCCTTTTGCCTTCCATTCTGCTTAAACTTATTGAAAACAAGCACTTTGGTCGTAATTTGAAAACAACCGGAACCACAGCAGAGCAAAAAACACTGTATGCTACCGAACTGTCAAAATTTACAGTAAATTCATCAAAAACCGGAAGGGTATCGGAAATGTACGCTCAATTTTGTGTCGCAGAAATGCTTGTTATTTTATGATTTCAATTTTAATAAAAACTCAAGGATAACAATTTGTACTTTTGTTTAACTTTTCGTAGAGCTTGGACAATTACTATATCGTAGGATATTTAAAAAAATAAATCAATCGAAAGTTCAACCGAAAAAATGAATTAAAAACTTTTAAACAGACTTGTACGCTCAATTTTGAGAGCAACTGTACAAAAGTGGAGGCCATATGGCTGCACATTTTTTTTTTTAAATCGAGTTGATTTACTAATTTTAATCTACAATAACAAATTCAATTTGAAAAGTCTTACGATGCAATCCGATTTAATTTGTGATATAGTACGATGGAAAATCCCCCTTATTCTGCGCCGCGAGTGAGGTGAGGTGACAAAAGTCACCGCGAGTGAGGTGACTGTCCGTGCAAATCAAATGGAAAGTCACCTCACTAGTGACAGCGAGTCACCTCACCTCACTCGCGGCGCAGAATAAAGGGGAATGATTCATCGCATATAAGTCGGAAATTTGCATTCTATATGATTTAACTTAAACATAATGCGATGTATTTCATTCGCATATGCGATGCTGACTTAAAATGTTTTAATTTTAATTGCCATATGTACATTGTTATTCGACTTCTGGTTGTCTGGGACATTCTCATGCCGCCAATTCGCCTGTTTGTGTGAGTGTTCCTGATGTATATTAACCCATTAACGCCCAAGTCGTTTTTGGCCTCCGGATAGGAGTAACCCAAAGACTATCCTCACACTATTCAAAAACAAGATGTTAAGGATATTCCAAGGATCATTCTAGTTATATTGAAAACATAATTTACGTTCCCAATTTCTGTTAAGATATGATAAAAGAAGAAAACAAATGCTTATCTATAAATAGGTCACTGGGCATTAATGGGTTAATGACACAGTTTTGATTCTCATCCTTCTAAATCTTCATCCAGTCCTTCTCTACTAACTCGTATCCTTAACGTTTTTTACTGATTCCAACTTCGTCTGCCCTTACAGAAACTGGGACGGTGCTCCACCACGCTATCAGAATCCACCGATGGCCCCTCCAGCGACCGAATACGAGCGTCCACCACCGTACTACTACCCGGGTGCACCCAGCGAGCATGAGTAAATCTCCTACGATATTATCAACCCCGAAGAGATCCAGTCACTCATGCGATGTCAGTTGGATGGACTAACTTTCTCTACATTATGCTCGGAAAAATTCGGTCGGGAAGTTGAGTTCATATCGCCGCTGCCAAACTGCTGGTGACATTGGATTGATTTTAAGCTGTCACATTTGCAAAAACGTTTAGCAAGCCTTTTTGTAGAATTGAAGGCACGTTAGAAAGCTGATCATCACAAAAAAAAAAAAAAAACTCAAGAGAGAAAGCCGTACACATTAGTGAATCCAGAAAAGTGTAGATAATTATTACCTTCCTACCTTTTTGTTTTGTTTCGTTCATGAGAATTGAATTTTCTTTTTTAACCCGTTCGTCGATCAAACTTTATTAGGTGTCACATTTAAGATGTGTAGAATTCGTTTTAATGAATCGCAAATAAATTGAACTAGAATTCATTCCAAAATCCGATTTGCTCAAACAACAACAAAATACAAGTAAACAAATTGATGAGTGCTCTTTCCAGTTCTTTTTATTAGGTATTCAGCTATTTGTGTAAGATTTTACATGAGATTATTACGCTCGGGAGACCAAATAACCAAATGAACGAAAGTAAACCCCGGTACGTTGAATTTGAAAACAAACTGCCATTTTTTAGTCCGCATATACGTTTGCAACACCTTGTTATGTCCCAAGTGAGAACCATTTTCCTCTTGAAACTGATCAACTCAAAACACATAATATACAATCTGTATTCAACCAGATACGAATACAAATGTTGGGAATTTGTCGAACTGTTCTAAAACTGATGTTTTTTCTGTCACTTTGAATGCTCCTAGTACTGCTACTATTACACTCACACACGAAAGCAACACTCTACTGAATTAGTCGTAATTTGCCGAGTACCAATTATATAGTTAATCCAATCTTTTGATAATAACAAAACAACAAAGTATAGATAAAAGGCTGATTAATTCTTAACAAAAACAAAAGAAGATTATGACAAAAGCAAATGCAAAAGTGCAGACATGGGTAGGCGAAAGCAGAAAAGAGAAAAGGGACGAATAATTTAGGGTGATTCAATGATTAACAGAAATATAGTGATAATTTTTTTAAAATAGGAATCGTTTAGGTTCGATTATGAAAATTGTGATTACGTTTAGTTGAAGTTTTCCTTTTTCTGAGTGAGCAAATTTTATGAGCATTATGTAGGAATCTCGCTCTTAGTTTCTTTCGTTGTTTATGTTTTTCCTATGTACATTTTCAGGTTCTTTTTAACATAATGAGTAAGGATGAACGCGAAGAAATTTTGATACGAATACATCAATTGTTATGGAAACCTTCAAATGAAAAAAAAAAAACGATTTACCTATCCTTCATCACAGCAAACTGTGCTGGTCGGTTTCCATAACGACATCAAACCGGATTCTACAACGGTGAATGATCAATTTTCTTCGCGTTAATCTTCCACAATCACAAACGAACTACTAAAAAATGCTGATCATTGATTTGTCAATACAATAAACAATTCGAGGTTAACTACAGCAAGTAAGGGAATTAGTTACAGCAGACTGCTTGATAAGTATAGAGACAACAATGATCGAATACAGAATATTTAACAGAAACCAATACAATATACAATTCGAATACACTCACAGACAGTACTGTTTGATATTTGAAAATAATGTAGTGGAAGCTACCGCAAAAGAGAAAAGGAAGAAACGCTGAAAGGTGTCATCGAAAGACCAGTTCTTTTTGCTCATTGATCGTGGTTTTCGATTTTATCGAAGTGGGCAAGTTGCATTTAGTTTTTACTTTAAATTAGTAGTAATTGATCACAACTTTTCCCTCGATATGAACAATTGGGAAGGAGAAGCGATTAGAAAAGAAAGCCTCAAAATGGCTGCCGTTTATATTTTGTACGGGAGGAGGCAAAAATTGTCATTTGATGAAAGATTGTTCAAAATCATACCTTACAAGCAAGATAAATTGATAAAAGACTTTACATTACTTTCATTGTATCTATCAATGTAAAAAAAAACATGTTTACGGTGTAAAAAAAGTAAAGAAAACAATGATTAATAACACTTCACTCGATCATCACTTTAGATGTTCAAATACACACACACACACAAGTAAAAAGAAATCACATACACGAAATTCGATATACAACTGTAATACGTGTCTTTGGTCGCCATGGGAGCAGATCAGTAATGATTGGACTACCAACTAAGATTTGAAAGTGATCGTAACGATTAAATAAAAGTGCTAAATAATCCGATTATGATGCGCCGATAGATTTCATCCGAACATCCCGTAAGCTTAGGACAGCATTAATCTGTTACTTTACCGACATTAACAAAACATCTCATTTCGAATTCAACGAAACAAATTCTATATACATATAGAACAACCACCTCTTTCGCTCTCCGAACGCGATGTGTTGAGTGGCTCGTGAATATCGTTTGCGTTAATTTACGCCCGTTTGCGCATTTCAAGCGAGCACCGCAAATGTAGTCTCTGGAAGAATCCAGCATCGGAATCGATTTTTCCGTTTCCTCGATGGTGAGCGTCTTGAAGATGTTCGAGTGGAGCATGTCTTGGGAACGTTCGGGAATACACGTCGAAGAGGAGAGGACATGCACATTTGTTTTGAAGGAAACCGGCGAATCGGTGGTGGTACTTGACTGCCGCTCGTGGTGTTCTTTTTCGCCCATGGACATAATTTCATTGTTATTGTTGTTGAATATTCATCGCGATGAACGGAATTTGAATTGGTCAGTGGCAGACTGACGAGAAATAGATAAACGAGCAAGGGATTAGAGAAGTAATATTTACCAACTAACACAATCTGAGTGACTAACTGGCGTTTAAAAAAATCCTAAACGTTGAACGTAGATAATCACCCATAGTATCGTTTTCGTTCAAATCGTATTTTACATCCAAAAATTAATGGGTGAATATGGGTGAATGACTTCAAATTAAAGTTTATTTCTCGCGGATCAAAGCTTTTTACGTATAATAAAAATAAAAATTAATTTCTGCTAAGAAAGTTTTGTTAATAGAAATGATTTGCGGTGTACATATTAAAAAAAAAACTGTATTTAACATAGTTTAAAAATTTTACCAAAAGTCGATGTTCCATGATTTTTGTCAAAAATAAAAAGTGTCACATTTCAAATTTTCATAAAAGTTTGTAATTGTCAATGAAGATATTTGAATTTTATTTTTCAACTAGTTCGTTTATTTACTAGGCTCAGTCGTATGTGACACTTTGCGGAGCCAAAAATCAGTTATGTTTGAATTTACATTTTAAACAGCAGTAGTTCTATGGGTAACAATTTCGATTGGAAGGAGCTAGGTAGGGAACTGGTTTCTGAAGCGTCCTTCAGATACTACTCTCGGACGGTTGACCAAATCCTGGCTGGGCAGGGGCATGTAGCACAGAAACAGGAGTATAATAAGACTGGGACACAATGGCCGGAAATTGTTTGGAAAGGTGGGGATGGTCACATCAAACATCAAAAACATCAGACAAACAAAGGAATTCGTAGATCGCCTGCATGTAGCATGGTCACGGGTTGCCAATATATTTCTTTCTTCACGGAAGGGTTGTCTACCTCTGGTCACTAGGGTATCCAACAGTCGTGCTCTGGAGGCGTCATTACCCGGGCAATACCAAATAGTGTGATCGATGTCATCATAACCGGTTTTGCACCTACGTAAATTGCTGTCAACGAGATTTATTCTGAAGAAGATGTGCGTCTAGCGAGTAGTGGTTGGACATAAGCCTTGAAATCATTGAAAATGGTCATTTTTGTTTACTCTGTTACGGATTTTTATCAAAAATAACTAATTTATTTCTAACTGTGTATACTGCCGTTGTACGCATATCAGTCCCATGTTTTAAAAGATGCTTCTGAGAAAATCACGAATATTGTTTCGAATCATTTCAACTCATTGGAAGACATACGTTAAAATAAGTTAACTAATTGTTCACATTTCAACAGAATCAATATGTTTTAGTGAAAACTACAGAAATTATCTTCAATGAAATCAGTTAAATCTATTTTTATACGAACATCTAGGCATAACCTAGAAATTTGCAACGAAGTAGGAAATTCTACGCATATTAGTCCCACTAGGAACTGCTACTTTCAGTGTTGCGTTTGACGTCTTACTTTACGTCTCCGCGAAGTTTTGGAAGATCCTGGATAGTTTGAATAGCTTGCCATCATTAAATTATACCAACAATAAATTTGTTGACATTGCTACTTCTATAATATCATTAAAGGTATGGGCATCTCAAGAAACTAATGATGAATGCTCTATTTTGAACATAAACTTCTTAGCATCTTGTTCTACTCCTAAGCAAGATGAACGTAGGCCTAAAGGAGATTGTGCTTAATCATTTTGAGTCCAACCATAGATTTATGTTGGCTGACATGCTGTGGACAAAAGATCAATACGTCGATCGTGGGCTTCGATGATTTCAAGATATAGTTTGGAAGAGTTGACATGCAGATTTCTTCCGTACGGAGTTGACCTTTATCGAAGACAACATATCAAGAAGACTGGCCACTCTTCCATTTTCTCATACGAACTCATATGAGACAGGTACAATCGCACCATCTGCCGCTCAAAGGTAAATGCTTCGAACGAATTTGATAGCAAAGATTACATGTTCAGAAGAAGGGTTTGTGTATTTGCTCATTTTTCTATGCGCTGCTTCCACCTTCACTCAAGTGCAGCGCTACTGTATCTGTCACTTGGTTTTTGGCAAAGTTGCCAGTCTTGTTGATATGATGTCTTTGCCTACGTATTATTATATTATATAAGGGGCTTTTCATGAAACACGTAGACACGATTGTCTACGTAAGCGTCTAATAATGCATTGTTTGAAATAAGAACCTGGCTTTTTAATATGAAATCTCGTTTCTCTTAATATTTATCAACATAAAATAAAACTTCCGCTTTCTAAAATGGTTCATACCGTTTCTTTTGATAATATAAATCCTGTTTCAATAGTTCGTGTACACAAACTATCGTTAATCAAACCGTTAATTATAGATTCTGTCAAGAAAATATTTGTGGGACAGTTATGCGTAGAATTTCAACATGGGACAATTAGGCTTGATGTTGTTTTTATACAAAACCAGTACAAATTATATGTTTTTCTATTTCCGTTCCAAAGTCTACCTAAAAGGTACTGTTTTATGAACAAAAGTGAAAAACGTCTAAAAGTAACATGGGACAAATATGCGTAGAACGTCAGTATACTTTTCTATGAAACACTACAACCTCATGTCACAGGTAACTTCGATTAAAAGAGCCGTTTACGTGCTGTGATTTATTGAAATATATCGGATACGCCATTTTGATTTTTTATTTTGCAAGCCTCAAAATGGCCGATTTATACACAAATATTAATGAGTATGTTGGTGGACGTTGGCCAAATTTGGATTTTTCAGATATAATCCTAAATAGGACCTAGATTATGTAATACTCTAGCAACCACAAGTCCGTGCTCTGTCACAATGTTTCATTGTGATTAATCAACACTCAAAGGGGTAAAATATCAAATTTGGGGCGAATTTGAAAGAAAGGGAACTTGGAGTGTAGAGCGCACTGCCCACTGGACGATTTTGAAGCCTGGCCAGGTGAGTGGGGTATGGGTTTATTTGATTGAACGTCATTTCCAATGCATATATTGATACATTCAAACCATTGGCATTTGAGATAAGACAGAGATAGGATGCGGACGGCCCGCTCAGGAGGAGCGTAACCCCTGTTATGGTTTCCATTTATTAAATAGTTCAGATAGGCTATAAATGACAGGTTTATAGTGAGAGAATGTACCATATTGGGAAAGCATAATTTTCATAGGGTTCAGAGCGGCTGAGCTGTTCGGTTGTAGTTTGACCTTCCTTCAAAACCAATTTAAAACGCATTATTCACATGTTGCAATTATTGAAAAGAGCTCGATATAAGATAGCCACAGAAAACAGACGTTGAGGCTCCAAAATTTCTCTAAAAACTTGTGTAAAGATTCCTATTCGACTTAACGGCGACTTCCCCACTTAAAAACCCTCTTTGACAACATGATGGCGCTGGCATTGCAAAACATACACTAGACACTAAGTGCTGGTAGCGCCAAGTGGCAATTTTCAGCTGATAATTTATCGATACCAGCGCCAAATTGGTCGAAAGTGATAAATTTATAAAGGAAATCAGGAGATGCTAGCGCTACGTAACGGCAACGTTTCCACTTAACTTTACACAAGTTTCTGACCGAACTTGGACGTCTGGTCTCTGTCAGGTAGCTTAATACAATTAAATAGAAATGCCAAAATCTTACCGAGTAGTTTAGCTGTTCTGATTTCGGTACAGTTTGTTTAGGTCGGGTATAGTTTCTGTATGGATTCCCATTTTGAAATAGCTCAGGTTAGCATAGAGTAATATTTTTATTGCTAGGGAACATTCTTTCAAGATCGTCTTTATTTCATACATTTCTCATTATTCATACTAGGGTAAATGTCGGCTTCGGCACCCATTGACTGTTTTCGGCAACCAAAATTTAAACGTTAATTTCACTATGTTTTCCCATAAACTCACGTCCCTGAATGCACCCAAGCGATTCTTTAGTCTTTCAGCTTCAATCTGATTGTATTTGTACGTCTGAGCAGTCCTGTTATGCCAGATTTTTATTCAAATGAAACATACGTACTCTAAAATGAGGTTGATTTTAAGTTGCCGATAATAGAACAGCTGGTTAACACGCAGTTCTAATGGGAAGGTTGCCGAAGAAAAAGAGGCTGCCGACAATAGTCACACTCACCTGAGAAGTTTGGAGCGTTGTAAAAACGCTTTCAAACAGTTTTGAAGAATTCTGTCGATTGGAATGGATATAGAAGCAAGCAGCAGATGAATGTAAACCAACAAACACGTCATAGGGTATACGTCCCTAACCTCGGTCTAATATGCAGCCATAGATTACGTTTTTAATCATAACTCATCAATTAATTTACCTGCAAACGATATTCTACTGCTAAATGGTATGCTTAGATATGCTTATCATGTCGTTTGCTATCAGGAACCGCAAAAAGTTGAAAAACTTACTTTTTTTAAGACAAAAACTCACCAGGGAAATGTATGTAATGTCGGTCTATTGTCCCCAAATTGGGTCTATTTATGGATGCAACTTCGTCCTATCCTGTTTGATTCTCAAAAAAAAACGCTCTTGGTAACGTTTTCTTATGTATTTTTTTTTATCACTATCACTGT